AAAAAAAAAAAAAAAATACATCTTTTAGTGAGCCCAGTCTAGAAACTATTGGGGGAAGTCACCTATCAATTGCCAGTTTGTGGGAAAAACTGGGTAGTTTTTCTAGGCTGGTGAAATCTAATTGCTAAGTGTTTACACAAATAACACACAAAGCTAAGAATCAGAAGCAAAGGCTGGCATTTTTCCAATGACTAGCCTGAACAGCCTCCGATCCGAAAGCATGAAGAAGAAAGTAAACTTTAAAATGATTTGAGAGAAAGGTCTATTTTCATGACAGATGGCAATGAGGGTTCTTCAATGCCAATTTAATCACTTTTCCTCAATTTTCAAATGCTTAGGATGTGGCTCTGACTGTTTGTGACCAGCACTGTGTCTGCTGAGCCGGAATGGGGCAGGACGGAGACTAATGTGTGCTGTGGTCTCCAGGCCACTCTAGGGCAAGGCCACCCAACTTAGGGCAGCGATGTTGTTCAACAGATAATCTTTCTTTCCACGTGGAAAAGTTCTGTTCTTACCAGCCCCATTTTTATGTCACAAAGGCAAAGACCGTTCTTGATTGGGGGCCTAATTTATATAATCACTTTTTGGTCTGATAACCTTAACAAATAGACCTGTTGATGGGGATTTAATTGACAGAATGAACAGTCTCCAAATTTTCAAGTAGGGACTTTTAATTTTTTAATGTTTATTTGAGAGACAGAGAGAAAGAGAGAGAGAGAGAGAGAGAGAGACAAAAACCCAAGTAGGCTCCAGGCCCTGAGCTGACAGCTCACAGCCTGACACGGGGCTCAAACCCACAAACCACGAGATCATGACCTGGGCTGAAGTCAGACGCTTAACAGACTGAGCCCCCCAGGCACCCCTTTAAGCAGGGACTTCTGATAATTACCTTCCAAGTAAGTGAAGAGAAGGGCCTGACACCCACCAGCAGTGCTGTGAGGGCCAGAACTTGAAGCCCGATTTCCACCCAGGGCTCTGTGAGCTCCATCTGGACTCGTATCTTTTCCAGGAAATATTCTGACAACTATCCTGTCTCACGACACTACTTTACATCTGAACCGTATGTAATTTTTCCAAGGAGATATTGGATACTAGACTTCACTTTTAAACCAATGAGAAAATGTATCTACAGACAAATTAGTCATTAAAGTTCTAATCTCTGGGACTTCCCTATCCAGAGTAGAAAATGCCTCGAATATACCACGGTGCTTCTTTGGGAAATATGTACGTTTTATAGGCTCTTCATACTTTTGGTAAAGTGTCTCAGATGCAAGGCTGATGGGGGAGTTCACCACCACAGGTGTGCTTATTAATAAGCTGGAGTTGAGTGCGTACCAACAACGCAGGAGAGTTCTAGGCGTCAGTGCTGATGAATGCTGCTAAGCACCTGTAAAGACGAAACCTGCCCCTCGCATTCAACAACCTCCTGAGCTCTGTAAGACTCCGGATCCTCGGTGCGGAATTAAGCAATTTATCTGCAGAGCCCTGTCTTCTCCAAGGAGAGACACAGACAATGTCCTTAAGACTACCTGTGCACAACAGCGTTTACCGAAGCGGCCGGGTTATTTACACAGCGTTTTCCAAAAGAACTCAATAGTCAGGACCCCGGAGACAGCGTGAAAACCCGTAGTGGAGGAAGGCTGGCAACCTGTAATCCGGGAGCCAGTGGCCTTCAGGGGACGCTAGCCTGAGACTTCACCTCCCCCACAACCTCAAGCGCTCCTTTGCTTGTGTCCGGCTCAGCCCCGGGTCAAGCAGAGCACTGGACATCGGGCACCGGGCAGCTTCCAAACAGCTCCGCGGATAAAGCAGGATGGTTTGCATCGGAGCTCAGTCCGAAGGGCCTGTCCCACTCCAAGGAAAGGAAGAGACAAAAGTATTAATCATGTTTTCCTTTTAATAAGGCTTTTTACTCAAAAGTGTAGCTTTGAAAATCTCTAGCTTGTGAAAACCGAAGAGCCGGGGAGCCGCCTCGCTGTGCACGCGGCCCCGGAGAGCTGAGGCCCCACCGCCGCCACAGACCCTCCGTGACTGACGTGGGAAATCAAATGCACCACGTTAAAATCAGAGCCAACATTTAAAATGAGGAGGAGGATGCATGTCCTACGGTGATTCAAGGAGAGGGAGCAAGTTCTTCATACGGTAAAACCAAACACAAAAGGTAAACAAATCTTTAGAAATCACTAGGGCTGTGTGTGGTGTGGGTGTGTGTGTGTGTGGGTGTGTGTATTTATATAATTAGGATTATCACCAACATTTAAAACTATTAAAAATAAGGTTGCCACCTTAACCTTTCTTTCAGTACCGGGGCGTTATTTTAGGGAAAAAAAAAAAGATGTCGCCCCGAACCTCCAGCTGCCAAACCTGGAGCCCGGCCTGCGCTGAGCATCCGGAGCGCGTCACCCCGTCCTGCTGGCAGGGGGCAGAGAGGCTGCCGCCGCGGCTGGCAGGGGGCCAGACCCGCCAGAGCACGGCTGACGGCCGACCTGCGTGCGTCCCCGGGTAGAAAACACGGGTGCCCACAGTGGGTCTACAGGGGCTGCCAAAGCACCCCTTGCCCGGTCTGCCGTCGAGGCCCGGCAACCTGTTTGTTTTGCCCAGAAGCAAGATGGCTATCTTAATCAAAAAGGGAAGCTAGATTTTTTTTAAATAACTTAAAAAAAAATCATTTTTATATAAAGCAGCAAAAACATATTTTCCTCTCTGCGGAAAGAAAAAACGTGAACAAGGGAGCACGGCGATGCAACTGGACGGTCCATGAACTTCCGCTCAGCTCAGCTCGGTGCAGACGGCACCTCCGCGGGGCTGCTGCTCCCTGGTGCCCTCCGTGCCGTCTGCACAAGATTCTTTGGTGCCCTCGGCCGCTCTTCGGCTTTCCTCCCGATTTAAATTTTCCTTCTCCGCCCCGGTCCCGTTGGGGATAGAGTTCTCGCCGTTCACGAGCCCATTCTCCACGGCCTTCGCCCCGCCCACGGCCTCGGCCAGGGTGAGGGCCTCGTGGGCGCCGGCCTCCTCCTCCAGGCTCCTCAAGGCCAAGGGCAGCCTGGCGCCCCCCGCGCCGCTCTCCTCGCACCGGGGCAGCGGGGCCCCCGCCTCCATCTGCTTGCGGTAGTACTTCCGGTTGGCGGCTGCGCTCTTCACCGCTTTCTCCAAAATCTCCTTTTCTCCTAAGCGCAGCTTGATGGCCATTGTTGCGCGCACAGAAAGGTTGTGGTTTTTCAAGAAGGCCTTGTCTTCCTGGCCAACGAAAAAGAGCGAGATTAATTCTGAGAAGTCTAAATCGGCAAAAGTGTGGCGACAGAAGGCAGATCAGTTGCTGCCAGGGATGGGGGCACGAGGGAGGTGTTAGGGGTGACAGAAGGTTCTGGAACTTGACTGTGGTGGTGGCTGCAGGATTTGTGGGCTTCTAGCAGAACGTCCACGTTAGAAGTGTGGATTTTATTGTATTTATTTATTTATTTTTAACATTTATTTATTTTTGAGACAATGTGACAGACAGAGCATGAGCCGCAGAGGGACAGACAGAGGGAGATACAGAATCCGAGGCGGGCTCCAGGCTCTGAGCTGTCAGCACAGAGCCTGACGTGGGGCTCAAACCCACGAACCGCGAGATCACGACCTGAGCCAAAGTCGGACGCTTAACCGACTGAGCCACCCAGGCGCCCCGATTTTATTGTATTTAAATTCCATCCCGGTAAAATGACCCTAAGATGAAAACGGTGAGCCTAAATCTCATGCCTGCTGCACCACATGTGACAGCGAGCTCGGCCGATTTTAGGTGTTGTCTGTCCTGTGCACTGATGGCCCAGGGGGCTTGACACCTGGTTGGGTGCATGTGAAATTAGGGACGCGAAGGTTAGCTTTAAAAGCACAAATGAAAACTCAGAATGACAGAAGAGTGGTGAAAAAAATTTTCAAATCTGTCTTCTTATCAACAGTGCCTCAATGCGATTCTTCTGGTCAGTGCCTCAATGCGATTCTTCTGGTCAGGTATACATACGGTAAGTAGAAAAACCTTAGTAAGCTGAGTGACAAAGATCAGATGCCCAATGCTCTTGCTAAAGAAAGTAATTGACATTTAGGAAGGAATCTCTTATCAGAAACCCTTAACAACATGACACAGCTCAACTCCTCATCTACGCAATCTAATTACCTCAATGGTTGTTTTGTAGGTTTTTAAAAGAAGCGAGGCTCGATCTTCAAGAAATGTCCAAAGTTTGACCTCATTGTCCCAGCTAACGGGATACTCGGAATTACCCAAGGTGAAGATTCTGTCTATAGCATTATCTCCCAGCAAATGTTCTTTCAATTCTTCTGCAAGAAACACAAACAGCCATCTGTTAGGGAAGAAACAGCACGGCTTCTCGGCTTCTCATTTAACAAGCAACCCACCTTGGAAAATATCTTCCCCAATGACATCGTCCTCCTGTGGCTGAAAGCTCTCCCTGATGGAGGGGGCCGGGCCGTGCTAGGCTCTCCAGGGTGAGTCAGGGCTAGGTTCAGGAGGGGTATGTGTGTGTGTGTTTGGGGGGGGGGGGTCCTCCTGATCTGGAGTCCGGACCAAGCCTTGGGGCGGCACTGTCGCTCGTTTTTATGGGGGACGCCGAGAGCTTTTACACAGTCTCATGAGATACATTTGAAGGACAAACTCTAGGGACGCGGCCCTCATGCTGACGATACCCTTCTCACAAACCGTGAGCTCAGTCACACCCACGGGGTCAAAACGACATTTAGGTTGACGATGTAAATAGCAAAAACGCGTTAAACAGGACAACAATCCAGTGACCCTTCTCTGTGTCAGTCAGAACGACGCTCATGCCAGTAGTTGACCTGACAAAGCTGTTTACCTCCTAACACGCAAACCCCGAGCTGAGAGAAGCAAGAAAATGGACTATAAAAACCTTAGTTAATGAAAAATGTGCCTAGATCCCTCCCTTGTCAGGAATTAAACAGAAATTACAAGTAAACACAAGTGAACATCTCAATTACCTTCAAATATATGTAAGAGGAGGAAAGAATTCAGCAACTGCTCTGAGCATTTCATCTCCTGGCACATTATCTTCAAAAGACCCAAATATGCCCGTCCTAGTCACGCTCAAGAAATATCCCCGTACTTCTTATGTAATTATGAGACAGTATCTCTTTCAGAGCAAAATGCCCCACAGCTGTCACTCTTTACAATTCAAATTGGAGAACTTCTGCTGCCAGCAAACTGAACTTTTATTAGTATTAGTTAGAGGAATTCAAAGGATAATATAGCAATTGTCTTGACATGACAAGTTGTCTTTCTAGGACTAAAGAGAAACTACAGAGAATCATCGGACCTAAAATGACTCAAGCAGTTTGGTTTTTTGGTTTTTTTGAAGAAAATAGAAGTTAATCGAACATTCAAAAAAGAAATTTATGAAGTTGCATTTGTTAGCAAAAGGGCATGAGAAAATTCAGGGTTTTTAGATTTTGGATCCTCCAGTTTATATTTTGGGTAAAGTGCTGACCGTTTAAGACGCGCTTCCTTGGTGGTAGACGTTTCTTTTTGGAAGCTCCCCCCAGTCCTCAGGTCGCTAGTTTTGATTTGTTCCTAAGCGCACGCACGTTCTGCCCTCCAAGCTGGCAAGCTGACTGAGGGGCAGGAGCAGAGACTGGGGACTGCTGGCGACAGGACACCCCCAAGAGGGGACACACAACAGCGTCACCATGCGACCAAAGGCTTCAAGAGTAGGTTCCTCCCTATGCTTCCCTGCAGCCAACAAAGAATGCAGCCCTGACAGAGCCTCCGTGCCTTCCCCCAGCCACCACGGGAGTCACGTTAGGTCACCCCCGACAGAGATCGGTGCCCTCGCTCCTCAGCCTGGCTCCATGTCAACCGCGGGTTCCTCCAGACCCCTGGACAACTAGTGTCTCTTCCACGGATCGTGTTCTGTGCAAGCCAGCGGGAGTCACGTGGGATGCCCGGGGCGCAGGCCCTGCAGGGAGAAGAGCTGGTCCTGACTCGGGCCGCCGTCTGCCAGCTCAGGGCCACGTCACTCAATCCCTTGGAACCGGAGCTTCCACGTCAGTCAAGCGCGAAGCCCTACACCTCACAAGCCTGACGACAACTAACAGAATGTAGCATGGCGCCTGGCATACAGCAGGTGCTCACACATTACAGGGATCGGCATCACTGTCATTTTTCTCAGTCATAAGTCTCCTTGGGATCGGAATGGTGACCTTCACCTTTATACCTCTTTACTGTACATGGGACAGGCCCATGGGAAACCCTTCACTGGTGTTCGCTAAACTGACTGATGAGCCACCACCAAAGGAAAACCTCGCTGGAAGCTGGGCCTTCGACAGTGTGGCCACTTCTGAGGGACAAGCTCCATCCATCCACCGCCCCCCCCCCCCCCCCCCCCCCCCCCCCCCCCGCCTTGGGTCCTGTGGTTGGGTGTCGAAATCACCTGTTTGGGGCCTAAGTTTCTTCCACGTCTGTCCTGACGTCAAAGCCTGGACTGGGCATCCAGACGTGAAGACAGGGGGCCGAGGACAGCAGAGCCCAGCACACCCCACCACCGCGGGCCACGATTCACCTCTGCAGACCAGACTGCCCTCTCCCCAGTGCCCGGACAGCCTTCTTCAGAGGAATGCTTGTTTGTTTGCTCAGTTAGGTGCTAACTCTCTCACTCACTTCTTCCTACCCAATCTGTTTTGCACAGGATTTGAAGTCGTTTACAACAGCAGACACACACACACTCACACGCGCACACACACTTGCAAATGAAACTTCAGGGAAGGAAATAAGAAAGAGTAGAGCAAAAATAAATGATATAGAAGCGAAAAAAGAGCAGATCAATGAAACCAGAAGCTGGTTGTTTGAAAAAACAAATAAAATTGAAAACCACTAGCCAGACTTAGCCAAAATAAAAGAAAGGACCCAAGTAAGTGAAATCACAAAGGAGAGAGAGAAGAAATAACAAACCAACACCTTAAGAGAAATACAATCTTAAGAGAGTATCATGAAAAACTATATGCCAACAAAGTGGGCAATTTGGAAGAAACGGATAAATTCCTAGAAACATACAGATTAGTGAAACTAAAACAGAAAGAAATAGAAAATTTGAACAGACCCATAACCAGCAAAGAAACTGGGTCGGTAATCAAAAATCTCCCAACAAACAAGAGTCCAGGGCCAGACGGCTTCCCAGGCGAATTCTACCAAACATGTAATGAGTTAATACCTATTTTTCTCAAACTATTCAAAAAATACAATAGGAAGGAAAACTTTCAAATTACAGAGGCCAGCATTACTGATACCTAAACCAGATAAAGGCACCACAAAAAAAAGAACTACAGGCCAATATCCCTGATGAACTGGATGCAAAAATTCTTAATCAAATACTAGCAAACCGAATCCAACAGTTCACCCCGATCAAGTGGGATTTATTCCTGGGTTGCAGGGGCAGTTCCATATTTGCAAATCAATAACGTGGTGCACTGCATTACTAGAAGAAAGGAGAAGAACCACATGACCCTCTCAACAGATGCAGGAAAAACACTGGCAAAGTGCAATGGCCATTCAGGATAAAAACCCTCAACAAAGCAGGTTAGAGGAACCCAATAAAGTCCATATATGAAAACCCCACAGCCAGTATCATCCTCAATGGGGAAAAACTGAGATCTTTTCCTCTGCAGTCTGGAAGACAACGTGGATGTCCACTCTCGCCACTGCTCTTCCACAGAAGACTAGAAGTGCTAGCCTCAGCAATCAGACAACAAAAAGAAATAAAAGGCATCCAAATCAGCAAAGAAAAGGTGAAGCTTTCACTATTTTCAGATGACAGGATACTATATACAGAAAACCCAAAAGACTCCACTAAAAGCTATTAGAACTGATGCACGAATTCAGTTAAGTTGCAGGATACAAGATCAATGTGCAGAAATCAGATGCATTTTGGTACTCCAATAATGAAGCAGCACGGTGAGAAATGGAGGAATTCATCCCATTCACAACTGCACCAAAAACAATAAGATGCTTAGGAATAAACCTAACCAAAGAGGTGAAAGGTCTGTACTCTGAAAACTATAAAACACTGATGAAAGAAACTGAAGACGACACAAAGAAATGGAGAAACATTCCGTGCTCACGGAAGAATAAATATCGTTAAAATGTCCATACTACCCAAAGCAATCCACGCATTTAATGCAATCCCTATCAAAATACCAACAGCATTTTTCACAGAACTAGAACAAACAATCCCAAAATTCGTATGAAACCATAAAAGACCCCAAATAGCCAAAGTAATCTGGAAAAAGAAAAACAAAGCTGTAAGCATCACAATTCTGGACTTGAAGTTATATTACAAAGCTGTATTGATCAAAACAGTATGGTACTCACACAAATATAGATACATAGATCCATGGAATAGACTAGAAAACCCAGAAATGAATCCCTAACTATATGGTCAATTAGTCTTTGACAAAGCAGGAAAGGATATCCATGGGAAAAAAACAGTCTCTTCAACCAACGGTGCCGGGAAAACCGGACAGCAACATGCCAAAGAATGAACCTGGACCATGTTCTTACACCATACACAAAAATAAATTCAAAACAGGTGAAAGCCCTAACTGGGAGACCTGAAATCATTAAAATCTAAGAGAACACAAGCAGTAACCTCTTTGACATTGGCCATGGCAACTTCTTACTAGATATGTCTGCTGAGGCAAGGGAAATAAAAGCAAAAATAAACTATTGAGAATTCATAAAAATAAAAAGCTTCTGCACAGCAAAGGAAACCATCAACAAAGCTAAAAAGCAACCTATGGAATGGGAGAAGATATTTGCAAATGATATATCTGATAAGGGTCAGTATCCAAAATCTACAAAGAACTTAAAAAACTCAACACCCAAAAAACAAACGATCCGATTAAGAAATGGGTAGAGAACGTGAACAGACATTTCTCCAAAGAAGACATCCAGGTGGCCAACAGACACACAAAAAGTTGCTCAACATCGCTCATCATCAGAGAAATAAATATCAAAACTACAATGAGAGATCACCTTGCGCCTGTCGAAATGGCTAAAATCAACAACACAGGAAATAACAGGTGTCGGTGAGGCTGCAGAGAAAGGGGAATTCTCACGCACTGTTGGTGGGAATGCAAATTGGCGCCGCCACTCTGGAGGCCAGTATAGAGGTTCCTCAAGAAACAAAAAATAGACGTACCCTATGATCCAGCAATTGCACTACTAGGTATCTATCCAAAGAATACAAAAATACAGGGGCACCTGGATGGCTCGGTCAGCTGAGCGTCCAACTCTTGATTTTGGCTCAGGTCATCGTCTCACAGTCGGTCATGAGTTCAAGCCCCATGTCGGGCTCTGCACTGAGCATGGAGCCTGCCTGGGATTCTCTCTCTCTCGCTCATGCACACACACTCTCTCTCTCTCTCTCTCAAAAATAAATAAACAAACATTAAAAAGAAATTAAAAATACGACTTCAAAGGGATACATACACCCTGAGGTTTATAGCAGCACTATCAACAACAGGCAAATTATGGAGACAGCCCAAAAGCCCATCGACCGATGAATGGATAAAGATGTGGTGTACATATATATTTCAGGATATTACTCAGCCACAAGAAAGAATGAAATCCTGGCATTTGCAATGATGTGGATGGAACTAGAATGTATTATGCTAAGTGAAGTCAGTCAGTCAGAGAAAGGCAAATATCCTATGATCTCACTCATATGTGGAATTAAACAACAAAACAAAGGGGAAAAGGTGTGTGTGCAGGGGGAACCAGAAAACAGACTCTTAACAACAGAACTAAGAGGGTTGCTGGAGAGGAGGGGGGGGGGGGGGGGATGGAGGGGGCTAAATGGGGGATGGGCACTGAGGAAGGCACTTGTTGGGATGAGCACTGGGTGTTGCATGTACATGATGAATCACTGCATTCTACACCCTTAACTAGTATTAAACCGCTGGTTAACTAACTGGAATTTAAATAAAAACTAAAAACAAAACAACCAAAAACAGTAAAAGCGAAGCCTTAGGACCATGGGATTGGGCCTACTGGGGTGGGGGTGGGGGGACATTTTCAGACCAAACACGAAAACGCAAGCACAATCAGTCAGGATAAGAAAGGCCAAATGTCTGAGCTTAAGCAAACATAAAAGTAGATGCTGAATACGTGCATTTAACTCTTTCTCTGCCTGAAGGGAGAGGCTGCCGGACAAGACCATTTTGTGATGCAAACAGGGTCGTCTTCAGTGTTAACCTAACAGGATGCCTGACGTTAGGAAGCCTGCCAGCAATTTCACATCTAGAAAGCAGAGTCTGCCAGCCAGGGAGGTCCCGTGGCCCACGAATGCCACGTTGACCACATGACTTCCGGGGGGACTCCCAGGTCCGTGCACGGTGCGGGGAATACGGCTGTCTGCGGAACGAGCACATCAAAAACTCCCCTCCACAAACACAGAATTCTGATGCAGTTACAGGATCCCAGATGTTTCTTCTTCCAATGCAGTAGAGAATTAGTTGTTTATTACAAATGAATATTGACAACACATCAAGGACTTAATAAAACATTTCCAGGGTAAAACGGATCAACTTCTTTCTCCAATGTTGCCCTCCCCCCTCCCCCGAGAAAGCGCTCTAGTTTTAAACAATTTTATCTTGAATCTGCATCACTATGCTTTACACTTGATGCATTTTTTAAAAAGTCAACATCTTTTTTTTTTTTTTCCTCCTGAAATGATTTACCTTCAGTCATGCAGAATACGCGGAGAAAAGCCAGGAGCTGGGCAGAGACGGGCGGCTCGGTAAAATGCAGCGCAAACACACTGGAACTGACAAAGGCAGAAGCATTAGTCGCCCTGCCCGGGCACCTGCTCTCACCAACTGAGAGCCCTTCACTTCACACTCGGGAAGGGCGGCCGCCCTCGAGGGGCGCTGACCCGCGTGACTCATCCCGACCCCTCACCCGAACCGCGCAAATGTTGCTTTCAGTGCCTGCAAAGTGCAGAAGGTAGGGCCTCTCTCGGAGGATGGCAGTTTCTAAAAGCCTTAATCTCAGGGTGCGTGTGACAACTAAGAGAATTAAGTGTGCCCACGGTTCTTAAAAAATGTTAATAATAATGTACGTTGAGTTCACATTTTAATCATTAATCAAATATTGACAAGTTCAATAAAAAAAGGCCTGGTTAATCCATTTTCATTAAGAATGGTTCCTCCATTCCCGGGAGAATAATAAATCATAATTCTTGGCTTCTTTATCATTTTGCACCTCAAATGCGAGAAAATCTTCAAGAATTTAACCAGAAATTCTTGAAATCACTAGGGATCATGACTTCATTACAGAAACTAATGGTGGCAAAGAATTAAATGAAACAAATTGATCCGGGTCATTAACCTTTTCAAGGTGAAAGACACTAATGATCCACAGTATTTATTTAACTTAATGAGGAGTTCAGGCCGTGTCCCCTGGAAGGGACCATGAGCGCCCTCAACGACGCTGACGTTTATCTGAAAACGCCCGTAAGTCTCCACGCGTCCCGGTCTAAATCTGCTGTGCTGCACGGATGCAGACATGGGGACAGACCACTCTAGAGAAGTTCTACTGACACACCAAGGAAACACTGTGCAAGTGGAAATGCTTCTAGGCGCGCAGGGGAGAGCCGGGAGTCTCTGTACGTACGTGGGGATGCCGGCGCGGGCCAGGACCTCGGCCTTCATGGCGTAGAGTCGGTCACTCTTACTCACTCCCAGCTTTATTTTCACTCTGTCGTGTGAATTATTGTCAAAGAAAAAACCACTGTGGATCACAAACTCTGCATTTGACCGAGTGCCATAAAAAATGTAAATCTGAGATGCAGTAAAGAAAAAAATAAAGGGATATAAAAGAAATTTAACATCATTCTCAATACAGAGCAGGGCAAAGGATCAGTTCTCACATGTTCAACTGGACGTCACACTCCACACACAAAACAGCCCTCGCGTGATCACGTGTCTCTCCTGCAGCCCCAGCAAGGCGTGCAGTTCCCCCTTCCCCAAACCGGCTGAGACGGGCCAGGAAGGGCGTCCGCTCCCGCCACCGCGCGGGCCTGCCTGGTTCACAGAGGAGCCCCGGCCGGGGTGCGCACTGCCCCTTCTCTGTCCCCAGGACGGCGAGACCGGCCGGCACGTTATGACTGCACGTGGCAGTTCGTCACGGTCCCCCCGCCTCCTTCCACTACAAGGGTCTCTTCTGGGACAAGAGTCTCAGGCCGTGTCCGTCAGAAACTCATTTCCAGTTCCTGTGGCAACTCTGCACCCCGCAGGGGGTCTCTAACTCTTCTGCGGGAAGGGCCGACCGGCACTTCGTTAGACTCGCATTGCTCATTTTGTCTCAGCTGGGGCGTCAACGGTCGACGTCAGTTCTGCTTTCTGGGGGTAACTGCTCGGTCCTGAGACCGAGGGGCGGAAAGCAGGCATTCAGGGATGCGTATTTTCAAACTCACCGAAAGGCTCACCCCTGCCCCCACCCAAATCATGAGATGAAATCTGCAGATTAAAGTGGAAAGACGTACGGTGCCCGAGTCCCTTGATTTTGCCACTTAAATAAATTGCAAATACGAGGTCAACTGTGCAAATAATTGCACTTAAATCTGTTTTCTCCGCGGACCCAAAGCACAGTACGTTTCTTACGGCTTCAGGTCTCGAGACGTACTCCCCAGACGGTCCTAAATCCAAATCGCTAATTTTGTGCCCGAGCTAAATCCCTTTTTAAACTTATCAACACAACGCGAGCTCTGTGCCCACCGGCCGGCCCCCGGTCTGCGAGCCGGTGCGTGAGCGCCGCCCACCTGCTCTCCAGCCCGGAAGTCCTGCAGGGCCACACACTCGCATCGGTCATCTTCCAGGTTGTAGCCGGTGGTGATCTAGGCGGGGTGGAGGGGGACAACTGTGAGCACGGAGGGGAGCGGTGCCCTCGCTCGCGAGGGTCTGGTTTGGCAGTCAGAAGACAGAAGGCAGCCGAAGGTACCTAAAAGGGCGCCTTCCGCATGCGCTACAAAACTGCAAACAACTTCTTGGTTATTGTAATCAGTTCTATTTACACCAGAAATTCTTACACAAGATTCCGCACGTGGAGCGAGGGAAGGACCTGACTCTTCGGAAAATACAGTGGACAGAGTGGCTCTCGTTGGTCTCAAGCAAGGTCACCATCTGTCCCAAAGCGAGCCCCACGGACGGAAGCAGGGTCTCCTGGAGAGCACGAGCTGACTCCAAATGACTCCAAATACCGTTGCTCTCACCTCTGGCCACTAAGAAACTAACGTGTGTCTTCCATCGGGTAAACAACCGGGGAAAAGGAAAGCCTGTTTCTAAACTATGTACTTACTTTACTCTGAAATTAGAGAAATTGAAACTTTCAGATAAGCAAAGGGAAAATCAAATAACTTAGCTGTGGTCTATCTTTCTGCTGAGCGCTGTATGTAAGCATCTCTGAGGCCATTACAAGTAAGTACCCCAGACCCGGTCCCAGGCCAGAAACCCACATCTCCCCCCACCCCAAGTCTGTCCTGTCCTGGGGGGCCAGGCCACTTCACGTCCTGACACACAGGCCACAGAGGTGTTCTGGTGCCGCTACAGGCCAGCACTTGAACTCCTAAATTAGCCTTCGGGTCCTTGCCTTCCTCATCACTCCCTGGCATGGCTGAGGTCCTAACCATCGGCAGCTGGCTTCAGATTCCAGCACTGTCCCTCCCGCATCCCTAGTGACACTACAGTGCCGGCCTCCTGTGTAAAACCTTTTGGTAGCGGGTGCCCGGGTGGCTCAGTCGGTGGAGCGTCCGACTTCGGCTCAGGTCATGAACTCGCGGTTTGTGGGTTTGAGCCCCAGGTCGGGCTCTGTGCTGACAGCTCGGAGCCTAGAGCCTGCTTTGAAATCTGGGTCTCCCTCTCTCCCTGCTCTTCCCTGACTTGTGCTCTGTCTCTCTATATCTCAAAAATAAACAAACGTTAAAAAACATTAAAAAAAAACCAAAAACCTTTTCGTGGCCATCCACCTTACCTACAGGCAGAAATCCAAATTCTTGAGCGAGGCCAGTTTACGGGGAGGCCCACGTCCCCCTGGGGCCCCTGACCTGCTACTCGCCTGCCACGCCCAGCCACTCTCCCATCTCCTTCGTGTCTGGAGCTACCTTTTGCTCCCGTTTTGCCTGAGCCCTGGCTTCTTTGGGGACAGCGCCCCTCACCCGACCCAACCCCCCTGTACTCCCAGAGTCCCTGTACTGGCACCCTCCCACCCCACACCCACCCCCAGGAGCAGTCTGGAAGCTCCCGTGTCAACCATGTCCCCCGACACTGTCTCTGACAGTACTCACGGATGCGTGAGCCACTGGGATAAGAACACGGCCCCCAATTTACACGAAAAGCTCCTTATCGGAAGTCTGTCCTTTAGAGCGGCCCCCCGATCTCTTAGACGGTCTGTAATTATTCATTAATTCCTTTGATCTCTTCATTTTGTCCTAGAGAATCAAAGTTCAAGACCACCGCAAGTGCCACTTACTGAAAAAGGCATCAACAGCGTGGACCCAAAAACTGACTTCTGAGTCCAGGGAATAACATCTTTAGGACGGAGGGCCACGTGACGACAATCTTTCAACCCAGGACCCCCAGAACCCGTGGTTTATGAACTGCATCATACTGCCACTCCGCAAAGACCAAGAGAAACATGAAAGCAACACGAAATGAATGCAGCCAAGGGATCTGGCACATTTGCCCTCACAGAACAGGTTCCACACTTGCTAAGATCAGCTCTATGAGGTTCCTGCCCAAAGTCACAATCACTTTTCTGACCTCACACGGGATTCTGAGAAGCATGGAGTAGGAACTGCCCACAGACCCCCAGCCCTGAAAGTCTGCGGCTCCATGGTATGGTTGCACAGGGACCTGGCAGGAGCATCACACAGCAGGAGGGAAGTCAGGGAAGCAGGAGGGATGGGGAAGGGCCAGCGATAAACTGAAATAAACAGGCAGAAATACAGGAGACAGATAACGGGACAGGAGGCGAGGCTCACAGAAGGGGGAGCGTGGCGATGCCACACAGGGGACCCAGGGCAGCCTTCCTTGAGGAAGTCTGTGAGTGGTCTTTGTAGACATCTGAGGAACATGTATTTCAGGCGGCGGGAAGAGCCCGTGCAAAGGCCCTGAGGTGGGCGTGTGCCAGTGTTTGAGGAAGCACAGGGGCCCAGACCTGAGTGTGGTGGGAGTGCAACGGGGACGCGGGGAGCGGGGAGCCTTGTCTGCTACTTACAAAAACCCAGGCTTTCACTTTGAGACCGGAAAAAAAGCCTTGTGTAAACCTGAACGTTTTAGAGGTTTCAATACTCAAACAGACCTTGGGAGAGAGCCTCTCTCGCTTCTGCTTAATTTCCCAAGGCCCTTCCATCCTGACCAGGAGAGGTACACGCTCAAATACAAGGGCTGCTTATTCCAACATGCTTCACCCGCTGGAACGGACAAACCACTTGTTAGTGTTCTCCACACAAACGGAATAACCTCGAGAAAGGAACATTGCTGCTTACGTGAGTTCTGAAGCAGTCGCCCAGAATTCAGAGCTACAGCATTTCTTCCAGTTTAACATGGTGTCCCATGAACTCGTCTAAACCTGTGTCTCCATGTGGCTAGGCAATCAGCCCATGCTTGCCACCACCTCAGGCCCGGGAACCCAGCCGGCCTTCTCTTTTCTCCCCCGTCTCCCTGCTGCTACCGCTTTGGAATTGCCGTCACGGGCTTGGCTCTCCCATCTCAGCTCCCACCATCAGGCTTTTGTCAGAAGCACAGAGCGTTGCTGGGTTACAGATGTCTACCTACTCCCTCGGCGAGCGTCAGAACAGACAGACAACGACCGTCAGGATAGACACACACACAGAAGGCAATCACCTGTCTGCGAAGCCAAAAGCCTTAATTTCGGGTCCCTTGCAACTTCACAGTGTTAAAACAGATTCTCACATTCTACCAGACCCAATTTCCCTTGAAGTCTTGTAACCGCAATTGAAAGCAGTTCAGCCAAGGTGTGGAGTGCGGGATGCAAGGAAAACGGCCACCGTAAGAAAAAGCACCACCACCCTGTCGGAACCCTCTAGAGGTTAGCCACGTATCGCCAGCTCTGTGATAGGACACGGACCTTATGAACTGCACTGGAGAAAACAGCGTTAGTGGTTGTCATCGACTCCTTATTTTTATCTTGAGATAAACGGACTTTTTTTTTTTTAAACTCTTGGAAAAAAGCGAATAGCTTAATCCCACTTATATGAAAACAACACAAAAACTAGTGTGCACGTGAATGTGTGAAGGGGCACAAATGCGCACCTGATGGAGGGAGAGATTCGCTCACAGACGGGCCCGGGGCCCGGGCTCTGGGCGCTGGCGGGGCAGGGAACCTCCACATTTCACGACTGCAAAGGCATCTCACTGGTTAACGGATTTTGTTTGCTTACGATAATGTGTGTACTTTTTCAAATTTTAGAAATGAGAAACCTCTAATGGTCAATCAAGTCTGAGAACGAATGACCTAACCCAGGGAAACAAAAAGGAGAACGCTACAGTCAAATATTAAAAGCGTTTTTGAAAACTTTGAAAACTTCAATCTTATAATCAGTTTAAAATAGCTCTGAAGGGGGGGGGGGACAGAAAAAGAATGAAAACTTTTATTCATTAATGAAAATAAAGTATGCTGTCCCTTAATCTGGCTAATTAAATCAAGCATGTCTAAATGAAGGCAGAAATGTAATTATAGGAGTGAAAGCATTCTTTCTGTACAATTTAAGAGTATTGCTTGCTGCTAGACCTTCCCAAGTGAGCACCGGGGCATTCCATCGTCAAGGATTTGGCTCGTGCTACATGTGTTCTGGCCATTTTGTGGAGCGAGGTGTGCGATACTCATTGACAGCATATTTTAAGCCTATTTATAATCCTGCTAATAATCACAGAGAAAGCAGACATTGAGGAAAGATAGACAAAAAAGTAAAACCAAGCCAGTGTGCTAGGGCCGTGCTGAAAAATTCAAAATATCCTCAAGTTGATCATATTTCCATATCCTGATACCAGGAAATGTTTCTCAGACAACCACCTCAGCACAGGGAGCGTGTCAGCCTCTGCTGTGGCTGGGGATCCAAAGAATGCGGACGGACAGGGAGCTGGCTTCCTGGGCTTCCTCCTTTCACGCGTCGCCATTAACAATCATCATAAAATTCCCCTGTTTTCTTAACGTCTCTTACCTGGGGCTTCCCAAGCCTGGCGATGCCTACACCACACTCAAGGCCAAGGGCCCGACGCCCCAGCACCAGGGAAACCAGGCCCTTCTCCCGGACAAAGCAGGTTAATAAGTGGGCCAGGGATGTGCCATCGTGTCAGGTGAAGGGAGAGGGAATCAGAGAAGGCCCGTAACAGGGACTATAGTCAGCAAGGAAAACAAGGACCGTAAAAGGAAAAACCAGAAGGAAGAAAGTTTTGGTTTTTTTCTTCAATAAATCGGCATTCTAAGAAGAGGAAGGAAAAGAAACCTTGGTTTGGTCTGTGGTTTAATAAGATAAGAACATGAGTGTTTAGGCTGGAATTATGGCTTCGCAAATCAATGCAGTTCGCTGTGGTTTCTGAAAGCGGAGTAAGATTCTTGTCCCTGGTTTTCAGGATTAAGCAAACACCCAGAGAGAAAAACTGCAGTTTTTCTCGGCGGGAGGTCGGGGGCGGGGACCGGCTGGTTCTGTTTGCTGCCTTTGGAGGGAGGCAGCAGGAAGCTGGGCTGGTTTGCCGGTGGAATGTCCACACCACAGCCCCCCCCCCCCAAACCCC